CACTTCAACTCAATTTGTTGTGTTATTACGGGTTTGTTCTTTGTTCTCCTTTCCCACTCCTTGAGGAAAAGTCTTCATTAAAAACTTTTATCTAGGGCTGAGAAGGTGGCTCAGTGGTAGAGTGCTCACCTTGTATACATGAGGCCCTGGGTTTGATTCCTCAGCATCACATAAGCAGAAAAGGCCAGAAGTGGAGCTATGGCTCAAGTGGTAGAGCACCAGCCATGAGCAAAAAGGACCGACCTTAGTGGCTCAAGTCTGTAATCCTAGCTGCTCGGGAGGCTGAAATCTGAGGATCAAAGTTCAAAGCCAGCCCAGGTAATGTGACCCCCACTAAAATTAGGGCATCTGAGCTACAGTTCACTGGCAGGACATCCTTCTTGCTGTCTGGTCTCAGTCTTTCTTGCTTTTCCCTTGGGAGAAGAAGATTAACATGCCCTCATAGCTTTCTTAGTAACCCACTTTCCCAGTAAGCCTGCAAACTTCCAGGTATACCCCCAATTAATACCATCTCAATCTGTAAATCTGTTTTCTAGTTGCATCCCATTTGAACTGCCAAGACATACTGTAAGAATAGGGCAAACATTAAAGGCAGAACCTCTTTGTAGAGAGAATCCAGGTTAATCACTAAAGAAACTCCTCAAAAGTAGAGACACAGAGAAAGAAAATTACAGAGTTAGACAAATTAAGTGTGGTATATAACGGTGAAACTCAGAAAGAGCCAAGAAACCTGGAAGGTAGTTTGACTTGGGATGTGATAAGTAAGAAGTTTGGAATGTGTTCTGGTAAATATCAGCTAAACCCTTATTGGGAAATGCAACCAAGGGGGGAGCCTGGAAATGTAACCTTTACCTTGATGACTTATTGCCTTGTTTATTGAAATTATACTTGATATTTGTGATCACTAACTGCTAGTTTTGCTTCTGTAAACCTGCTTGCTGTTACATACAATGCCACCTGTGTGCCCTGCTTGTCCCCTTTAAAACCCTGCCACAAGAGAGCTTGGCTGTTGTTCTTCACTGTCTTGGTATAGTGAAGAGCAGTTGGCACGGCTAATAAAGGTTCCTAGCCCGATTGACTGGGTGTTGGTGACTCCTTTTGCTGATTGTGGGTTTGAGTCCCACCGGCCCCAGGAAGTTAGGATACTTCAAGAGGCAGAGACTCACATGGAAGGTGGTTTGATTTTTGGGTGTGGTAAGTAAGAAGATTGGAATGAATTCTGGTAAATTTCAGCTAAATCCTTATAGAGAATGAAACAAAGGGGGAACCTGGAATGTGGTTTTTGCTTTGATGACTTTATTGCTTTGCTTATTAAAACTGTAACTGTTTGTTGTAATTACTACTAATTCTGCTTCTGTACACCTGCTTGCTATCACATAGACTCACCTGTGTGTGGCTTTCTTGTCCCTCGAAAACGCTGTTGTAAGAGAGCTTGGCTGAGCCGGGCACTGGCGGCTCACACCTGTAATCCTAGCTACTCAGGAGGCTGAGATCTGAGGATCACAGTTCAAAGCCAGCCAGGGCAGGAAAATCTGTGAGACTCTTATCTCCTATAAGCCACTAGAAAACCAGAAGTGGTGTTGTGGCTCACGCGGTAGCACTCGCCTTGAGCTGAAGAGCGCAGGAACAGTGCCCAAGCCCAGAGTTCAAGCTCCACGACAGAGAAAGAGAGAGAGAGAGAGAGAGAGAGAGAGAGAGAGAGTTTGGCTGCTGTACTCCAAAGCTCTGAGGGCTGGAAGCAGTTGCCACACAACTAATAAAGACTCCTTGCCCAATTGGCTGAGTGTTGGGGTGTCCCATTGGAAAATCAGGGTGCTACAATTTCTGTTATAGGGACAGAGGACTTGTTCCTCACATTCTATATAATTCTTACTGCTCATTTTAGCTTTACTTCCCTTACTAAAGGCTTAGATAGCAGAGGTTGTGCAAGAGTTATTTCAATTGTGCCGGGGCCAGTGGCTCATGGCTATAATCCTAGCTGCTCAGGAGGCTGAGATCTGACAATCATGGTTCAAAGCCAGCTCAGGCAGGAAAGTCCATGAGACTCTTATCCTTAATAAACCACCAGAAAACTAGAACTGGTGCTATGGCTCAAGTGGTAGAGCACTAGCTTTGAGCTGAAGAGCACAAGGATAGTGCTCTGGCCCAGAGTTCAAGCCCCACAACCGAACAACAACAACAAAAAGAGTTATTTCAATTGTGCATCACAACCAAACTTGTAATGAGCACTTTTCAAATCCCTATTTCATATATGCAAGCATAGGCACTGTTAGGAGGGTAAGAGAGCTGGAAGGTAAAGCTGACTTAGAAAGTGAAAATAGAAGCCAGGCGCCGGTGGATCACACCTGTAATCCTAGCTACTCTGGAGGCTGAGATCTGAGGATAATGGCTTAAAGCCAGCCTGGGCAGGAAAGTCCTTGAGACTCTTATCTCCAATAAACCCTAGAAAACTGGAAGTGGCACTGTGGCTCAAGTGGTAGAGTGATAGCCTTGAGCTGAAGAGCTCAGGGACAGCGGCCATGCCCAGATTTCAAGCTCCACAACCAATTAAAAAAAAAAGGGGGAAGTGAAAATAGAACCTGCGACTCATATTTTGCAAAGTTGGTAACATGCTCTTTAGATAAAAGAATTTTAGCCAAAAAAAAAAAATTGGAGCTTTTTCTGCCATTTTAAACTGTGACTGTTTCACCTTGGACCCCGGTTTGCAGTGGGGTGCAGGCTTGTAAGTAGCATCTAGTATTGAAATAATTTTATCTACAGAGAAAAAAAAATAGGTGACTATATTATATGTAAGGTCTGCTCCTGGATGGCCAGCAGACTCCACCCTCCTCACAGCAAAGTCTCTACCCAGTACCTGCGTTACCTAGGCAACTGGCACACCTGGAAGAAGTCACATCTGCATCCGCTGAGGTCACATCTGAATTTGATGTGGCCACACCTTTCTCTGCCCATACCCTAGATAAGGCCTAGCCCAGGGCCAGACGCTCTCTTTTCTAGCTCTTTTCTCAGCTCTTTTCTCTGCTCTTTCTCAGCTCTTTCCTTCTCTGCTCTTTTCCCAGCTCTCCCCTCTCTTTCCCAGCTCTCTCTTTCCCACCTCTCTTTTCCAGCTCTTTCCCAGGCCTTTCCCCGCCAAGTGGAGGGCCAACATGGCCTGGTGCCAGCCAGAACAATGGATAAACCTACCCCTTACCTGAATAGCACGTGTGTTGTGCTGTTCTTACTCGGCTATCTCTTTTTAAAAACCTAACATTATATGTTTTACAATGATTGAAAATGGAGTTTTCAGACCCCCATTCCCAAACTCCACGTCAGGCCTGGCCCTTTGTCCCCATAAATAAACAGAGTTGGTGAAAGCCAGAAAAGGATTTATGATGTGGCATGGGTCTGCTATGGGAATGTAGCACTTCAGCCCATCTTCAGTTGTCATTGGGGTACAGATAAAAGCTATTGGCTTGAATAGATAATGGAGAAGTAAAGGGGTAAAACATTTATTAAGAGTCACTGTTTGGGATGGATGATGGTAGCTCATATTTGTAATTCTAGCTATTCAGGAGGCTGAGATCTGAGGATTGCAGTTCAAAGCTAGCCCAGAAAGGAAAGTCTGTGAAACTCTAATCTCCAATTAACCACTAGAACACTGGCAGTGGCACTGTGGCTCAGAGCGGTAGGGCACTAAGCCTTGAGCAAACTGCTCAGAGACAGTGCCCAGACCCTGAGTTCAAGCTCCATAACCAACAATCTTGTTCTTTCTTTCTTTTTTTTTTTAAATTTCTTTTATTTATTTGTTTTCTGTGCTTGTCCTGGGACTTGAACTCAGGGACTCGACACTGTCCCTGAGTTTCTTTTGCTCAAGGCTAGTGCTCTAACACTTGAAACAAGGTTCTAAGTCTCACTTTTTGGTGGTTAATTGGAGATAAGAGAGTCAAGGACTTTCTCATCTAAGTAACCTTGATCCTCAAATCTCAGCCTCCTCAGTAGGTAACTTCCCTTCACCTACAAGAGAGAGTCATCAGCACCCAGTTTGTTCTTGTTTTTGTGCCATTAGTGGGACATAAACATGGTTTTGAGCTTAGCTTTTTCCCTTAAGGATGATGTTGTACCACATGAACCACAACTCCACGTCCAGCTTTTTGGTGGTTAATTGGAGTCTTATGGACTTTTGTGCCCGAACCAGCTTTGAACCACAATCTTTAGATCTCAACCTCTTCCTTAGTAGCAAGGATTACGAGCATAAGCCACCAGCCCCCTGGTCCAGGTGTCCTTTATTTTTCTTTTCTTTTCTGGACTGGACACTGTCCCTTCCCCTTTTTGCTCAAGGCTGGCATCTTAGCACTTTGAGCCACAGTGGCACTTTCAGTTTTCTGGTGATTAATTGGAGATAAGAGTCTCACTTGCCTGAGCTGGCTTCAAACTGAGATCCTCAGATTTCAGCCTCCTGAGTAGCTAGGATTACAGGTGAGAGCTACCAGGTGTCCTTTTCAAATTCCAAGGTGATTGTATAATGACTCAGAGTGAGAATAGCTTTATAGCAAGGACCATGCAAAATGGAAGCAGGATGCCAAACTTTTCTCCTGCTTTTAATGTGTGAGCCCAGAAAAGGCAGTTTGTTTGTTTGTTTGTTTGTTTTCCGAGTCCTGGGGCTTGAACTCAGAGAGAGCCTGGGCACTGTCCCTGAGCTTCTTTTGCTCAAGGCTAGCACTCTACCACTTGAGCCACAGCGCCACTTCCAGCTTTTTTTCTGTTTATGTGATACTGAGGAATCGAATCCAGGGCTTCTTGCATGCTAGGCAAGCACTCTACTGCTAGGCCACATTCCCATCCAAAGGCAGCTTTTAGGCGTCCACCCGAGTAGAACAATAAGGAGAAGGGTCAGGCATATTTTCCTGTTCGTTGGCAAGGAAGAAGCATAATCCTATTTTACAGAATGGGAATTAAGAGCTTGAGAACCTACCCCATCTCCTATTCCTAGAGGGTCCCTATTCACCAGGCACTAATGTTAAGTTGTTAACTTCCTTTCACCTACTTTCAGTTTACATTAAATTGGGAAATGATTAAAATTCCTTCCAGGTTCATTGTCAGATATGGAGTCCTTTGTTCTAAAGCAGTCTTTATCTTCTGAGATAACATCACTGGGTCATTGTAAGACTAAAATGTGCATACAGGATTTGCCTGTAGGGTACTCAAGGGCCCAAGTGCTGGGTAAATATTTGCTGCCGGGCTAATTGGGTTAGCAGCACAGACATAGGAATGCAAATCTCCCTAGAACAAACACTAAAGTGGATCTTGTTCAAAGGATAAACAAGCTAAGCACTCAGCTGCTTTCTTCCGTTCCTTGACTTTAGCTTCCAGGGAGGGCAGAGTCAAGAGTCACTAAGATGCCCTCTGGCCTTTGACCCCAAGTCCGCTCGCTCCAGGACGTGAAGTCTTGACCCGGGATCACCCAAAGTGTCTTTTGGAACCTGAGCCTGGGGCTTAGGCCCGCCCCCGTTGCCATGGCAGAGTCTCCGCCCCCTGTCAGCGCCGGCGATCCTGGCTTCTGATTGGCTATCCAGGCCGCTTCCCTCTCCGGATGGGGCCGCCGGCGCCATTGTGCGGCGCTGGTCCCCGCGGAGGGAGCCGGCTACGGCCGAGTCCCCGGACGCGGCCCCCCGTCGCTTTGTGGCTGTGTGGTTGCGGGAGCCCGGCGGGTCCGGGACTCCGGTCCGTGCCGGTGCGGGCGCCGGCATGTGGCTGTGGGAGGACCAGGGGGGCCTCCTGGGTCCCTTCTCCTTCCTGCTGGTGCTGCTGCTGCTGCTGACCCGCAGCCCCTTCAATGCCTGTCTCTTCACCGGCAGCCTCTACGTCCTGCTGCGCTTCTTCAGCTTCGAACCCGTGCCCTCCCGCCGGGTGCTGCAGGTCCTCAAGCCCCGCGACCGGGTCTGCGCCATCGCCCACCGCGGCGGCAGCCACGACGCCCCCGAGAACACGCTGGCGGCCATTCGGCAGGTGAGCGCATCCTCCCCGCCCCCCTCACCCGCTCCTCCCCGGCCCGCCCGGGGCCTCTGCCGCCCCGATGCCCCCCGGCCCACCGCACACACACACACCCCCGGCCCGGCCGCCCAGCGTGACCCGCGGATGTCCGGCTCGACCTCCCGGAGCAGCGCCCAGCGGCGGCCCCGACCCCTCACCTCCCCGGCTAGGAACCTCCGGGACTGCAGGCGTGGATAGAATGCAGCGGTTATTTATATAAGCTGCCACGTGCCGGGGCCTGAGCCAGGACCACGGGGGTGGGACGGGGCGAGGGGTGGGGGAGGAGGGAAATCCCTGCTTCCATCATAGTGGGGGGGGGAAGCGAGGAGACACCTCGTAAACAAAGGAGATGCCCGGAGAGAAGTGTAATGAAGCCATGGGGTGAGGAGGTGAAAGATGGGGAGCCCCTGGAGTTCGACTCTGGGGTGGGGGGAGTCTCCAAGAAATCCTCCCTAAGGAGTGATCGTTTCAGTTGGGAACCAGAATTATAATGAGCCAGGTGTGTTTGGGGCCGTGGGAAAAGCGATAAAGGGAGCGCGTGGCAAGGGCAAAGGTCCTGAGGGTAGGAATGGTGTTGGCGCCTGGCAGGAACCAAAGAAGCCAAGGAAGGCCTGACTTGAAGGTAACAGCAGAGCCCAGTGTGTCGGATGGAGTAGGACATGGGTCAGGTCCAACAAGGCCTTGGTGGTCAGTAAATGGGTTTATGCTAAATGGATCAAATAGGTGGATCTTCTTAGAAAGTGGCTTTGTTTGTCCTCTGAATTATTTGGAACATCGGTTTATCACCATTCTCCTCAGACCCATAGATTCACACTCACTACCCTGGCAGCCAGCCTTGAGACCAATTACCCCTTTTCTACAAGGCACTGCTAAGAATCTTGGCAGGCTTCCTCTCACTCTCTCTTACCCTCACTCCCAGTCCTTTTATTTATTTTTTATTTTTATTTTTTTAATTTTTTTATTTTTTGTCGGTCGTGGGGCTTGAACTCTGGACCTGGGCGCTGTCCCTCAGCTCTTCAGCTCAAGGCAAGCGCTCTACCACTTGAGCTACAGCGCCACTTCCGGTTTTCTGGTGGTTTATTGGAGATAGGAGTCTCACGGTCTTTCCTGCCCGGGCTGGCTTTGAACCACGATCCTCAGATCTCAGCCTCCTGAGTAGCTAGGATTACAGGCGTGAGCCACCAGCGCCCGGCTTGTCATTTCATTTCTAAATCCTCACTGCAGCTTTTTTTTTCCTTCAGTATGGGCTTAAACTCGGGACCTTGAGCGCTCTCTTGCTTTGCTTACTCAGCTTCTTTGCTCACAGCATTTTTGCAATTTGATTGGAGATGGAGTCTTACAGACTTAACTCTCTGGGCTGGCTTTGAACCTTAATCCTCCATATATCTGCCTGCTGAGTAGCTAGGATTGCAGGCATGAGCCACAGGCACCCTGGCTTATCTTGAGGATTAAACTGAAGCTAGAGTAGATAATTAACTTCACCCAGGTGACAGGCCTCATAGTGATGGAATTGGGAGTTTATTTATTTATCTTGGTACTGGTGACTACTAGCTATTGCTCTTTCATTGTTATTATTTTCTGGAACATCTGTTAAACTGTACACATATTACACACACAAAACATATATACACCTACATACTCACAAGAGATCCTGATTTTTGTGTGTGTGATCTGGTCTTGGGCTTAAATTCAGGGCTTGAGTGCTATTCTAGAGCTTTTATGCTCAAAGCTGGTATTTTACCATAAGCCACACCTCCACTGTGGCTTTTTTTGGTGGTTAATTGGAGTTAAGAGTCTCCTGGACTTTCTTGTCCAGGCTGGCTTTAAACCGTGATCCTCACTCAGATCTCTTTTCTCCTGAGTAGCTAGGATGACAGGTAAGAGCCAAAGACACTCAACTGTGTGTGTGTGTGTGTGTGTGTGTGTGTGTGTTCGTGTGTTCGTGTTGTTATCCTAAGAAATATTTCCCATCTTCACAAGCCTGAAAGCAGGTAGACGGTGGATCTCAGTGCAGAGTTCAGATGCTCTGTGAACTCTTCCCATTGGCTTGCTGGTTTGCTTTGCAGTGCTAGGGATGACACCAGCACTTGGGTGTCCTCTCCCTCTGCATGCAGGGCACCTGGTCCTGGGTTCTCCTTTAGATCCTCACTACCACATCTTGCTGAGCCATCAGCCAGGGCCACAGACATAGCATATAGACACCCCTGGAAACAGCGCAGTGTGTATCTTACAGAGCATGGGGCTCAACCTCCAAGAGGCTGACTCATCTTGTTGATGCCAAACTAGCTTATCATCTCCAGTTGCCACACCCAGAGTGTAGGAGCTCTCAGTACTTCAGCTGTTCAGACTTGGCGTCCCAAGTCCCCTATGTGCCCCTTGGGGCGGACTGACCCCACCCCATGGGGAACCAGGAGATCAGGGCTGTGTCTGCCAAGAGAAGGGTGCAGAATGAGTAAGAGCAGATGTCTACCCCACCAGCCCTACAGGTTTTCATTCTTTTCTTTTCTTTCTATTTATTTATTTAGTTAGTTAGTTAGTGTTGGTTGTGGGGCTTGAACTTAAGGCCTGTGCACTGCACCCTGAGCTCAAGGCTAGTACTTTACTACTTTGAGCTACAGCTCCAGTTCCTGTTTTCTGGTGGTTAATTGGAGATAAGAGTCTCAAACTTTCCTGCCCAGGGCTGGCTTTGAACCATGATCCTCAGATCTCAGCCTTCTGAGTAGGTAGGATAACAGACATGAGCCACCAGCACCTGGCTTCTTTTTTTTTTTGGTTGGTCGTGGGGCTTGAACTCTGGGCCTGGGCACTGTCCCTCAGCTCTTCAGCTCAAGGCGAGTGCTCTACCACTTGAGCTACAGCACCACTTCCGGTTTTCTGGTGGTTTATTGGAGATAGGAGTCTCACAGTCTCTCCTGCTCGGGCTGGCTTCGAGAACAATGATCCTCAGATCTCAGCCTCCTGAGTAGCTAGGATTACAGGCGTGAGCCACCAGCGCCTGGCTACCTGGCTTCTTTTCTTTTCTTTTTTGTTCCAGTACTAGGGCTTGAACTCAGAGCCTGAGCCCTGTCCCTGAGCTTTTTGTGCTTAAGGCTGACATTTTACCACTTGCACAGCTCCATTTTTGGCTTCTTTTTTTTTTTTTTCTGGTTAATTGTAGATAAGACTTTCATGGACTTCCCTGCCTGGGCTGGCTTCGAGAACAATGATCCTCAGATCTCAGCCTCCTGAGTAGCTAGGATTACAAGCATGAGCTACCAGCGCCCATATGTGCAGGCCTTCTTGAGCGCCTTGCTGCGAAGGGGTGTCTGCAGCCCTTGACATTAACATTGCTGATGCTTTTGTTAAGGCAGCTAAGAATGGAGCCTCGGGCGTGGAGCTGGACATTGAGTTTACTTCCGATGGGATTCCTGTCTTAATGCACGATAACACAGTGGACAGGACCACGGATGGTTCTGGGCGACTGTGTGATATGACATTTGAACAAGTCAGGAAACTTAACCCTGCCGCAAATCACAGACTCAGGTAAGTAACCCGTGGTCCTTTACAGAGATCTCGGAACCTCTGGAGAGGAATACCCCGAGACACTGGAACCTTCTAATTAAACCTTCTGCTCCAGGAGACTCGTTTTGTTTTGAATTGTATACAGGTTTCCCAAGTGATGAACAGGCACCAGGAACAACAAAAATACAGCATGTGTATTTTTAGTCTTTCCCCCTGAGGCCAAATATGGCCTCAGAATTATTCTCATGATAATTGGGTTATGCTGTCATTTTGATCATGCTTCCTACTTGGTCTTGAGTTAAGTCTTAGAACTTTTCTGGAATTATCTGTAAGAGCAAGATTTATCTAGCTCTATTTGGCTATCACTGGTGTTAAAATAAGAAGCCAGGACTAGAATCTTGACATCCCATTTTTCAGTTCAAAGAAATGTCTGCTACTCTGTGCTGTTTCTTGTTTGCATGATGTCTCTCAACCCTGCAAAGCTGAAAGTTCTTTTAGATGTTGAGTTCAATGCCCTCCTGGTATATTTTCCAAAAGGTGAACGTGTGTGTGTGTATGTATGTGTGTGTGTGAGAGAGAGAAAAAAAGAGAGGGAGAGACAGAGCGAGCACTAGTCCTATAGGACTTCTCCACAAGAAGAGAGTTCTGTGATCTAACCAAGCATTTTACTCTGAATGTTCTAGAAGATAAATTGTCTACATCAATTCTGACCCTTAACTTAGGACATCTCAAACTTACACACCAATGGACCCTCCTATCCCCATACAGCTTGGAACTGGAATGCTGGGTAATGGGCTTTGGAATGTGGTGGTCCATATCCCTCTCCTCTTGGCTGCTTTGTGCAGTGGGAACTGCTCACTGTTCCATGAAGCTCATCAACTCTCTAGGCAATGACTATGGATAGTTGACCCAGCAATTCAATATAGTCCTCCCTGCCTGAGGATCAGAGCTTACTTCCCTAGGATTTGAACTTCAAGGAGTTAAAAGTCGGCCAAAGGAAATATTAGGCTACACATACCATGACAACCAGGAAACCTCAGAGGCCAGGTGCCAGGCTTACTGCTCAGTCACCAGATGTTTATTTGCTCTGCTGGATGCTTTAATACCGAGCAGCCTTGCAGCTAAGATGCTGTGTTCCACCTTCACACTTAAAGAAGAAAGGCATTGGCTCTACCTCATCCCCCAAATCCTGAGAAGGCACCCTATCTGTCAGTGTGTCACCTTCCCATCTTTATTGTAGCATGTGTGCCCAGCAATTGGGAGGTGCGCCCACAATTGGGCCAGGCTTCATCTCCTGTGATGGAATGCCATGTGAAGTAACTGCAGTGTGTCAAGGCCCATGGTGCAGGAAAATAGGCAGTGTAGGTATTCTCTCTCCAGTTACGCTCTTTGTGCTGAGATTTGCTCATCCTGACAGAGTCAGAGTAGCCGTGGGAATGATCGATGGTGACCAGAGTGGCTGGAGTGAAGTTTCACTGAGAGAAAAACTGATTTCTCATGCATTGTAAATCGTGTGTGTGTGTGTGTGTGTGCGTGCGTGCGTGCGTGCGCGTGCATGCGTGTGCACGCGCTGGTCTTGAGGCTTGAACTCAGGTTCTAGGTGCTGTCCCTGAGCTTTTGTGCTCAAGGCTGGTGCTCAACCATTGGAGCTACACTTGAGCTTTTTGATGGCTAATTGGAGATAAGAGTCTCAAGGACTTTCCTGTCTGGGGTGGCTTTGAACTGTGATTCTCACATCTCAGCCTTCTGAGTAGCTAGGATTATAGGCGTGAACCACCAGCACCTAGCAGTGGGAATGATGTTTGTTGATGCTGCTGTTCTTTGGTTGGGAACAAGTACCTCTAGCAAGAGCCTGGGGAAGCGGGGTGGAGAAGGAAGTTGGTGGAACACTTGACTTCTATTTTGAAGCAGACGTTACACACAATATCTGTTGCACTAAACTTGTCTCTTTCTCTTTTCCCTATGCTGTGCCCTTCTTGCCCCTACTCTAGGAATGATTTCCCTGATGAAAAGATCCCCACCCTGCGGGAAGCCGTTACCGAGTGCCTCAGCCATAACCTCACCATCTTCTTTGATGTCAAAGGCCATGCAAATATGGTACATTTATCCTCTGTGCTTCACATGGGTAAAGCCATTGCTGTGTGACTGCGAGTTCTTCCCACAAATAGCTGTTTTCTGTTCCTTTCTCTTCTTAAGAGACAGACAGACAGATAGATAGATAGATACATGCATACATACATACATACACAAATACAGATATAGATCTCCCCCTGTTCGGCAGCTAGCACAAGCAGTTACAAAAGATGATTACCAAAGCAGTTCAGAGGAACTCCTGGACTAGACATTAGAAAAGGGAAGGAAGAATTGGACACAAGAGTCACTTCAGTTTTCCTGGGTACAAAAGAAAGAAACTTAACATACACAGTTGTTATGAGAATTAAATAAACAGTGTGAAGCATTAGGACAAGTGCAGGTGTTAGTTCAATAGCCAGGAAAAAATTGAGGTCCTGTAGCGCATGCTCATCCACATTAGTGAAGCATCTGTGTTCTACTGTTTGTTTCTTTGGTACTGGAACGTGAACTCAGAGGATTTACAGTCTCCTTTAGCTTCTATACCCAAGGCTGGTGCTCTGCTACTTGAGCCTCAGCTCTACTTCCAGCTTTTTGGTGGTTAATTGGAGATAAGAGTCTCACACAAAGTGTCCTCCCCCAGGCTGGCTTCAAGATCCTTAGATCTCAGCTTCCTAAGTAGTTAGGATTACAGGTGTGAGCTACAGTGCCTGGCTCTGGGTTCTTTTTTATCCAGGAGGAATGCATCTTGTTGCTTACAATGTTTTGGGTGTGTGTCACATTCTATTTTTTTTCTTGGTCAGTTGTGGGTCTTGAACTCTGGGCCTGGGTATTGTCCCTCAGCTCTTCAGCTCAAGGCTAGCACTCTACCACTTGAGCCACAGCGCCACTTCTGGCTTTTTCTGCTTATGTGGTACTAAGGAATCGAACCCAGGGCCTCATGCATGCAAGGCAAGCACTCTACCACTGAGCCACCTTCCTAGCCCCTTGTGCCACATTCTAGAAACTAGTGGTATCTAGGAATTAGGACACACACAGTGTTTGCTTGACTGGTATTCACTGCTTTTGGTGTCAGTGTTCACTAGGGGTCCATAATGTTAGCATTTAAAATGTTGTCATTTCGAGGCTGAGAATGTGGCTTAGTGGTAGAGTGCTGCCTAACATGCATGAAGTCCTGAGTTTGACTCTTCAGAACCATATACACAGAAGAAGCCAGAAATGACACTGTGGTTCAAGTGGTAGACTGTTAGCCTTGAGCAAAGAAGCTCAGGGATAGTACCCCGGCCCTGAGTTCAAGCCCCAGGCCTGACAAAAAATAAATAAATAAATAAAGTCATTTCTTTCTCATTTCTTAGCAGCTGAACTGCTACAAAAAGGGATTTTTGTTTTATTGGGAGAAGTCAGGAGGAGCTCCCTTCTCAATTGCTTTCACCCTGACTTCTCCCATTATATTGGTGATGGTTTGTGGGTCCCCTCAGCCCTTGGGCCCAGCATATCTTCCTGCCCCGGGCTCCCCAGAAAGGCAGGCGGTGGCTGTAAGAGAGTAGTTCATTGTGGCTAAACCAGGGGAGGGGGAAGGGGAGAAGTTTGCAACTTGCCATACCTTCCAAAGGTGTGTAGGGGGGGCCACACAGGGACATGGCCCCTGAAGAAGGGGATGTACAGCGCCCCCTGGCTGCTGGCATGAGTTGAAAATATCCCAGTGGCTATGCCCCAACCTTTCACATTGCTTATGCAATATTAGTGCACTGTTTCAATGCATCAGAAGCTTGCTTAATATAATTAATTACTGGCTGGGAATTTAATGTTTTCATAGATTTTAAATACATGAATATCTGTTTTACAGGCTACTGATGCTCTAAAGAAAATATATATGGAATTCCCACAGCTATACAATAGCAGTGTGGTCTGCTCCTTCCTGCCGGAAGTTATCTATAAGGTAAGTTCTGGATAACATGTCTGGTGTATGGCCACAGTTCTCTCACTTCTGGATTTTTGCTGGTTGGTTGGAAATAAGACTCTCAGAGACATTCCTTCCTGGGCTCGACTTGAACCTCAGTTGTCAGATCTTGGCCTCCTGAGTAGCTAGGATTACAGCCACCAGTGCCTGGCTCATTTAAAAAAGATGTTAAATATTTCTCAACTAATAAGCTGGGCATGGTAATGCACAGCTGTAACCCAGGAGGCAGAGGCAGGAGGACTAAGAACTAGAGACCAACTTGGATCATACAGCCAGACCATGGCTCATAAAAAACAAACTAGGCTTTTACCTAGTGGCTAGATCTGAGGTTCAAAGCCAGCCCAGGCAGAAAAAGTCCATGAGACTCTTATCTCCAATAAACCACTCAGAAAAAGCTGGAAGAGATGCTGTGGCTCCAGTGATAGAGTGCTGTCCTTGAGCACAAAGAGGCTCAGGGACAGCTCCCAGGCCCTGAGTTCAAGTCCCAGGACCGGCCAAAAAAAAACAACTAAGTTTACAGTTCTCAGCTTTTAAAAATGCCCTCTGTTAAACTGTGCAGGCAATGCCCTGCATCCATTAAATATTTTCTCAAAGGGTTTATGGTATTTCATAGACATGGTGTTGAAAGTCATGTGCCCTCATCAAAACCAGCGCATTGGCTGAATCTAAGCTGTTGAGATGTTGGAGTCTGAGCGTATGATCATTTTGTTTTTCAAAATTCTTTTGCAGATGAGACAAACAGACCGGAATGTCATAACAGCTCTAACACACAGGCCATGGAGCCTGAGCCATACAGGAGACGGGAAAGCCCGCTATGAAACATTCTGGAAGCAGTCCATGTTTGTGGTGATGGACATTTTGCTCGACTGGACCATGCACAATATCCTGTGGTACCTGTGTGGGGTTTCAGCATTCCTCATGCAGAAGGACTTTGTATCCCCGTAAGTCGGAAGGGTTTTTTTTTTTTTTTTTTTTGCTGGTCATGGACCTGAACTCTGGGCCTGGGCGCTGTCCCTCAGTTCTTCAGCTCAAGGCAAGCGCTCTGCTGCTTGAGCCACAGCGCCACTTCCAGCTTTTTCTGTTTATGTGGTGCTGAGGAATTGAACCCAGGGCCTCATGCATGCAAGACAAACACTCTACCACTGAGCCACCTTCCCAGCCCAAGTCGGAAGGGTTTTTGTCTCTTCTGGCACACTTCCTGATGGCTGTCTGGGAGGGAGGAATTGAGGAGGTAGATAACCCAAAACGACCACTGTGCCTCTATTAGGGTGAATGATTGTTGGCCTCTTATTGGGAAGAATTCTGTTTCTTTTTTCTTTTTGTTGGTTGTGGGGCTTGAACACTGTTCCTGAGCTCTTTAGCTCAAGGCTAGCACTCTACTACTTGAGCCACAGTGCCTGGCTTCAGTTTATTGTTTCTAAATAGATTCATGAGAGAGAGAGCGGGAGAGGGAGAGAGAGAGAGAGATTGACTTTTATTTTTGGTGTTGGTATTGGTACTGGGGCTTGAACTCACAGCCTCAGGTTCTTTTTTGTTTTTTATTTTGCTGGTGTGGGCTTGAACTCAAGGCCTGGCCTCTGTCCCTGAGCCTCTCTGCTCAAAGCTAACTCTCTACCACTTGAGCCACAGCACCATTTCTAGCTTTTTCTGAGTAGTTTATTGGAGATGAGAGTCTCATGGACTTTCTACCCAGGCTGGCTTTGAACTGAAATCCTCAGATCTTAGCCTCCTGAGTTGCTAGTCTTACAGGTGTGAGCTACCAGTGCCCAGCTTTCACTAGATATTTTTTCTTTGTGCATTTTATTATTGTAGAAGTGATATACAGAGGTGTTAGTTATATAAGTTAGGTAATGAGTATATGTGTGTATATATATATATATATGTATAATTTTTGGTTGGTTGTGGGGCTTGAACTCTGGGCTTGGGCTCTGTCCCTGTGCTCTTAAGCTCAAGGCGAGCGCTCTACCATGTGAGCCACAGCGCCACTTCCAGTTTTCTAGTGATTTTTTGGAGATAAGAGTCTCATTGTCCATGGGACTCTTATTTCCCATAAACTACCAGGAAATCAGAAATTGAGTTGTGGCTCAAAGTGGTAGAGCACTTGCCTTGAGTGGAAAAGCTCACAGACAGCACCCAGACCCTGAGTTCAAGTCTCAAGACCAACAAAACAACCACCACCACCAAAGACCATAAAAACTTTCTCATTCCCCTACTAGCACCCAGATTTCAGCCAATTATAGCCGTACATTTCCCATGATTTCAAGCATGCATGATTCCCATAGCCTTTGGTTGCTGCCTACCATGTTGTAAGTCCTGCATGAGGAGGTTGGAGATTGAGAAAGACGCAAAGCCTTGGTCTCAGCCCTTACGGAGGTGCTAATTGAATAGAAATTCAGCAAATGTGGAAAATTACAGCTGAGCCAGATGCACAGGAAGCGGGCTGGGGTGCCCAGACCATGCCATCTGCCCTAGTCCAGGAAGAAGGGAAAGAGCCCCAATGAAGTGGATTAACATGACCACAAAAAGTTCTGTTGGCTCTCAGACATGGAAGGGCTCAGTCATCTCCAGAGGAGGAGGGGGAGGTATAGGTGAGAAGAGGTAGTGATGGGCAGGGTGAGGACAGTCATTATGGGGCCATGGGGCCAGCTGGGTTGGGGCATGTTCCATTCCACTGCAGTGAAGGCTCAATGACCACCACACTGAGCGACCATGCTTCTAACAGAATGGAGTTCTCTTCTCTCCCCAGGGACTACTTGAAGAAATGGTCAGCCAAAGGAGTCCAGGTGGTCGGCTGGACTGTGAATACCTTTAACGAGAAGAGTTACTACGAATCCTATCTGGGCGCCAGCTACATCACAGACAGTATGATAGAAGACTGTGCGCCCCAGTTCTAGAATTCTCCCTGGGACAGGGAAACTCAAGGGTCAGAAACTGCCTCTTGGCCTCAAACAGGGATAGCAAAATGCCCCCCTGAGTGCTGGCCCAAGCCCTCGTGATCGGGCGGGCGTACACAAGCACTTAGTAATTGCATTTTTACCTGAACACACCAAAACCCAGGATGGCCACCATGCCCCATGGAATGCCTAAGTTCAGCACTTGTTGATCTTGAGAATCTGGGTCTGAGAAAAGGCTCGACAGATCCTGCCCGACCCAGTGAGGCGCCGCCGGCCCAGGGAGGGTGGGCACGAGGCGAGTCTGCAAACGCAGACGCATGAGACCTGCATGAGTATTTGGAGTTGACCTTTTAAAGCTTGCCATACTTAAGTCACTTACTTATTTCAAATGTTTGTTCTCAGCTGTTAACTAGGTACTGTAGATATCAAACTTGTGACCATACTAATAAAAATCATTAAAAGGGACCTGAGAGGAAAACGGTATGCCAAGCCTTGCATCCTGCATGGGAGGAATTTGAGGAAGCTGGTGTGTGCCACAGCTGGATGTAAACATGCAAACCAGCAGGGGGCAGAGTTGCACTTCTGCCGAGTTCTGATGTCAATACAGGCTCTGGTGCCTGTGTACTTACACACAGCATTCTCTTCATTGATGACTGAGAGGCTCGTTGCAGAGTTAAAGCTAGGTGTATGTATTGTGAGGTTCAGATCCAGGCAGATCTGACCCCAGGGTCGTGCTCTTCACCATTCACCATGGCTCTGCTCTTTCTCCCATGAACATGTAAGGGTTATTGTGAACTTAAATCACAAGATTTAAATTGAACTTGCATTGCTTTTAAATGTTGAAGCTGCCTCCTAGCTTACCTAGCTCTGTTACAGGCCCCTCACTTAGTCAAGCCTTTGGTTCTTTCTCATATACATAGCCTTCCCAACTCCACACAGCTCTCACAGCCTCAAAGAAATGGCTGCTTCTGCTGGGTGCTGGTGGCTCAGGCCTGTAATCCTAGGTACTCAGGAGGCTGAAATCTGAGGATCCCAGTTCAAAGCCAGCCCAGGCAGGAAAGTTCTCATGAGGTTCTTCCTTCCAATTAACCACTCTGGCTTGAAGTGGTAGAGTGCTAGTCTTGAGCAAAAGAGCTGAGGGACAGCGCCCAGGCCCTGAGTTCAAGCCCTATGACTGACAAAAAAATAAAGAAGAGCCAGGCACCGGTGGCTCACACCTGTAATCCTAGTTACTCAGGAGGCTGAGATCTGAAGATCACGGTTCAAAGCCAGCTCGGGCAGGAATGTCTGTGAGACTCTTATCTCCAATAAAATCACTAGAAAACCAGAAGTGGCACTGTGGCTCAAGCAGTAGAGTGCTTGCCTTGAGCTGAAGAGCTGAGGGACAGTGCCCAGGCCCAGAGTTCAAGCCCCACGACCGACCAAAAGAAAAAAAAAAAGAGGAAAGAAATGGTCACTTGAAGGCTGAGATCCTGCAAACTCCAAAGAGAGACTCCTCTTTCCTATCCTTACCACTACAAGAGCCCTGTAGCTTCTAAACATTATCAGAAAGTACTGGGGTTTGGTTAAGTGCCTCTTAAAGCCTCCCATGTTGAAAGCTTGGTCCCGTTTGTGGCATGATTAGCAAGTAGTGGAACTTTTAAGAGGGAGCTGGGTGCCAGTAGCTCACACCTGTAATCCTAGTTACTCAGGATTGTGGTTTGAAGCCAGACTCTTATCTCTAATTAACCACCAAAAAGCTGAAAATGGAGCTGTGGCTCAAGTGGTAGAGTCAAGCTTCAGGATTAGCACCCTCCCCCCCCCCAAAAAAAAAAAGTGTCTGGAGGAGCCTTCAGTGTTAAGAACACTCAGTGAGTCTTTTGGCAAAGACCTCAGGAGCAAAGATTTCCCTGCCCCCTGGTACCCCCAAACCTCCCCTACCTTGGTCCAACCCCTAAAATTTTTGAGCTCAATATATATACCAGAGTTTAGAGACAAGACCTCTGATGGTATGTCAGCTTTGGATAACCTGGGAATGCGTTTAGCTCCAAATCACAAATACAAGGGTGACAATTGCAGTGCTTTACATAGTTGATTAATTACATAGTTGCTCATATTTTTATTCATTCTGGACCCCTTAGCACAGGTTTCAAAACCTCTGCCAGCTCTGGGAGGGAGAGATTCCTAAGGATCAGTGATTCAGGCATAACATTTAGAGATAAGATGCATGGTTCTCTGCTGATCTCTTCCCAGGTGTGTGAATGAGTTAATTTCATTATCACCACAGTCTTTATTGGAAAACCCTAAGTATTTTTTTTTTCTGTCTTGAAAAAAATCAGCAATCCAGGTTTGAAAAATAGCAGCATACAGCCCCCATTTTACTTGGCCATTTGCACTGTGGGTTCTTGTGCCCTCTCGGCATGGCATCCTCTCTGGGAAGCTCCTCCAGGCCCTTGCTCTGGTGTCCTGGAAGAAACTCCATTTTTGTCGTTTTAACTGGTTCGGTCTACTAGCCACAGTAGTCATCAGGCTCTTGGGTTCTCTTCTTGAACGGATCGCCTGAATCTCAGGTCTGGATTCAACACAGGAAGTTAATTGAAGATGAAGAGAAATTCATTGAGAGCCACCCAGCCCCATGTCCACAATGAACACACTTCAGTGCCTCTAGAAGATTCCACAAGCTGCTCATGCCTTTCTTGCTTAGGTTCCCCTTTAGTTTCTGTAATCCTCTCTCCGAACTCCCTTACAATCTACCCACAGCAGAGTCACGTGACTCCGATCTGACCCCAAAATAGTGCTGTGCATTATAAAGCATAGCGACTGGCCAACCTCATTCCATCAGCCCCAATGATACACTCAGACCTCTGGGTCTTGCTCTTTCCCACTAGACAGAGAAGATGGAAGAGATTGGCAAAGCAGCTGTGCAATGGCCTGTTAGTGAAAGGAGCAGAAGTCAGAGAAGGAAGGCTCTGACATCATGAGACTGCTGTAGGCCAAGCCTAAAGCAAGCCCAACTCCTGGATTTCTACCCCAGCCAGTTTGGGTCAGGTTTACAACGGAAAGAACAAATCCATACAGGCGCGATTCCAGCCTCCACCAAGGGCTGCATCGCTTGGATACATGTCCTATAGTGTGTCTGTGTTGTTACTCACCAGGCGCAGAATCACGCTCCTCCCAATACAAAGGGTCCTGTTGCTGCCAAAAAGGGGAAAAGTATTGCTACATCACTAGGGAGAGGAATATAGCCCCTGGGTCTCATTGTGTCATTGACATGATTTGTGCCCCCCCCCTTAGTATTTTATAATTATTTAAGTTTAATGACAATCTTGGGCTTGAACTCAGATCCCGAGTGCTATCCCTGAACTCATTTGCTCAAGGCTGGTGCTCTACCACTTGAACCACAGCTCCACTCCCAGCTTTTTTTTTGGGGGGGTGGTTCACTGGAGATAAGAGTCTCATGGACTTTCCTGCCTGGGCTGGCTTTGAACTGCGAGTGTCAGATCTCAGTCTCCTGAGTAGCTAGAGATGACAGGTGTGAGCCACCAGTGCCTGGCATCATTTTTTAAATAATAATAAAAATAAACACACCTAGATGCTTGAACATAGAAAGCCATGTGCCCCTGTGTAATCTCCCCCGACCTCCATCTGCCCAGGACAGGTCTTGGTCTCTGTTGGCTGGGGCCCTTTTGACAGGAGTCCAGTCTACCTGGTAGGGGTCCTCAGCAGCGGCAGACCTCACCTCCTGCTCCGCCTCCCTCCTTTCTAAGACAAGTGAGCTGGGGTTTGCTCTCTTCTCTGCATCCTGCAGCTTCATCAACTTTTCTATCAGGAACATCTTGTCTTTACCCTCCTGCCAAAAAGGAAGACATGGGGACTGGATGATAGTGCTGGGTTTAGAAACTATCGGTGAAAAGGAAGGATCCAGAAACTGGATAGACATGGCCGCCATCTTGTCTTCTAATGAATAGAAATGTATTTCACAGCAAAGCTAATGGCAACCTGCCCACAAAGGCTTCCTGACTTGTGTCGTGAAGCGATTCCCCCCAGCCTTATCTCGAAATCAGCCCTGTCCATGTCCCATTTACCAAAGTTATCTGTGTTAGTGGAGATCTGAGATTCAAAACTAGACAGAGTAACAAGACAGCTACCTTCTCCTGGGAGAGTATGGAGGAATTATACCTGTGTGTTGAGGTAGGGGACCCTGGCTATCAGCAATTCTGTCTGGGGCAGATCAGGCATGGTCAACCCACTTCCAGGCTTCAATTTTTCCGCTTATGTGGTATTGAGGAATCGAACCCATGCTAGTGCATGCTAGGCAAGCACTCTACCACTAAGCCACATTCCCAACCCTCCTCCCTAAACTTGTACCTGCTAATTTTAACATGTACCAGTGGATTTTTTTGCGGGGGGGGGGGAGTCCAGGGGATTTGAACTTGAGCCTCAAAGTTTATGCAGCAGGTACTCTACCACCTGAACCATACCTCCACCCCTTTCTTCTTTTTTTCATTAGCTTTCTTATAGGGTCTCCTGTTTACATCTTGGCCAGCCTGAACCATGATTCTCCTGCTTAGGCTTTTGTTTTGTTTTGTTTGGCAAAACTCAGTGGTCAATGTTTGAGAAGAGTTGCTGTTGCATCTGCTTGGGATCTTTGGGAGAAAATATCTCTGCGGGAGACCTTCAAGTAAGCAGGCCTGTGGTGAGAGACCTCAAGTTCTCCTCTGATTACCCAACACTGCCCAAGATCCTCCTAAGATTGCCCAAAGCCCTCACATTCTGGGTTGCTTCCAGGAACAACGGGGACTCACGTTAATGATCTGTTCGTGAAGCAGTCTGATCATAATCTTCCTTCCCTCTGTAATCTGCCAGTAAAGATATGTGATGATTCTGGAGGAAGAGACAGAACCACAGACACGCTGGTCAGGGCTTTGAGACTCCCAATCTCAGTGGTGCAAAAGAGTCAGCACATTTGCTCACAAGTGAGTTTCATTTGGGTGTGTTTTTTTTTTCTTGTTTGTTTGTTTTTGTTCAGGTCCTAGGACTTGAACTCAAGGCCTTGGGCACTGTCCCTGAGCTTTTCTGCTCAAGGCTAGCATGGGATTTCCAAGCCTGGCTTCCACTTGGTTCTTCCCTAACCCATAGTAAAGAAGGAACACATTCCTGAGTTTGAGGCATCTCAACACATGATTGAATGTGCGGAGGGGTCCTGACAACCTGGCCTGACCTCACCGACAATGAGTCAGATGCACAGGTGACATCCTGGGACTTGCCACTTGCATCAGCAGTGGGTGGAGCCTTGTGAGATGGAGCCCTTAGCTTGTGAGGTCTGAGGCTAACTCCAGGTCCAGTTAAGTTGTAGGCCATGCCGCTTGTGGCAAGGAGCATTGCCTGTAGACCCAGTGAATGCAAAGTCTAGACAGCTCAGAACAAAGCTCTGGGCAGGTCACTGTTGGTGGTGGGTATGTAGGGGTGGGAGTGTATCAATGAAAGCAAAAAGGTTGGGGTTGTGGCTGGAGTGGTAGAGTGCCTGTTTAGCCAATGCAAGGCCCCGAGTTCAAGTCTTAGAGTGGCAGGGGAAAAAAAGAGATTAAACAAATTATTAAAAATTAAAAAACACAACTTATTCAGCCAGGTGCTAGTGGCTCATGCCTGTCATCCTAGCTACTCAGGAGGCTGAGATCTGAGGATTGCAGTTCGAAGCCAGCCCCAGCAACTGGCAGGAGAGTCTATGAGATTCTTCTCTCCAATTAAGCACCAAAACCCACCAAACTAATTAAAAAAAAAAAAAACCAACAACAACTGGAAATGGGGCTGTGGCTCAGGTGGTAAGGCTCTAGCCTTGAGAGGAAAAGAAAAAAGCAAAGTTTAGGGACAGAACCCCAGGCCCTGAGTTCAAGCCCCAGGACTGGCACAAACAAACAACGCTATCTATTGAAGAGTAGAGTCAGGACCACCCTGAGCCCAGAGCTATGCTGTGGCTCTTGGCTTTCCAACCCTAAATTATCTTCATCTGGTTACCATGTAGGGTTCCCTTAGAGCTCCCCCCACTACCCCAAGTTTCCCAGAAGCCCAGCTTACAGCACAATGAGAGTAAGGATGAAGAAGAAGTGCACCCGGCCGATGAGATTCCGATAGATCCACACAACCCACTGGTAGCCGGGCGTCCTGCTCAGGGTATCAATCCAGCTGTAGATAGCCTCGATGAAGGAGGACAGCCCTCGAAAGGGGCCGCAGTCAGCTGAAGGCCGCAACCTGGGAAAAACAAGGGGTGGGAAAGGCCACTGGGATAGAGGCAGCTGCGAAGCAGGGTCTTCTCTGTACCAGGGACCTGGAAACAACTCTTTTTTGGGGTCAGTCCTGGGGTTGGAACTCAAGGCCTAGGCACTGTCCCTAAGCTTTTTGCTTTTTTGCTCAAGGCTAGCAGTCTTATCACTTGAGCCACAGCGCCACTTGCTGGCAGCTTCTGCTTATGTGGTGCTGAGGAATTGAACCCAAGGCCTCATGTATGCAAAGCAAGCACTCTACCACTGAGCCAACTTCTCAGCCCTGGGGTGGTGGAATTTAAGAGGTGGCTTTGGAGCTGGAATCCAGAGGAGACAAGGCAGGCACAGGGCAAGGGGTAGGGGGGGACAGATAGGAAAGACTAGATACTAGAAATTGAACAAGAGCTTAGGCCGCAGTACAACAGAACCAAGGGGAGGTGATGGTGGGAGGTTGGGAGGGGACCTTTTGGTTCACTGAGATGACATTCTGCTTCCCAGCTGGAGGCATGAGCCCCTACCATTCTGGGAAACTTCCAGTCCTTGGCAGAAGCAAGGAAACTGCTTCCAAGTGTGGGTGCCTGGTGTGTAGAATAAATCCAGCTTTTTATGCTTAGTGTCTGCAGGTTACTATGAGACCATGGTTAGAGCTCTATATCGGTTGTGTTTTTCTGGTACCAGGGTTTGGATTCAGGGTCTCACACTTGCTGGATTTGGTTGCTTAGCTGGTGTTCTACCACTTGAGCCAGGCATCCAGTCTAGCTTTTTGCTTGTCCACTAGAGATGGCATCTCATGGACTTTTCTCCCTGGGCTGCCTCTGAACCTCACTCAAGTCCTCCTGGTCTCAGGCTCCTGAGTAGGTAGGAGATTACAGACACAAGCTACCAGTGTCCAGCCTGTTATGAAGCAATTTGTAAGTTCTGTTTTAACAACGGGGAGTCTGATCCAGTGAGACTGTCTTCCCAGGGCTAGTTTCTGAAGCATGACTTTCCTACGCACACCGACCAACACACAGCCCACCCCCATTCCCAGCCACACCCTTTATCAGGTCACTGATCCTGTACCCCAGCCACCCCCAGACCAAGTTCTAAAGAACACAGAGCAACTATACAACATGTAGATGAGAATGACAGGAGAGAACTGGGAGAGAGCAAGGGAAGGGCTGACATTGTCCAAAAAGAATTTTTTTTTTGTCACTTGTGGGGCTTGAACTCTGGGCCTGGGCGCTGTCCCTGAGCTCTTCAGCTCAAGGCTAGTGCTCTACCACTTGAGCCACGCCCCCAGCCACCTTTCGTTTCTTGTCTTTTCTCTACATCTCCTCCACCTGCCTAGGCTTCCTGCATGAGTGTAATTATGGGTGGGAAATGCAACACCCACTTAATTCTTTGAATCTTACTTTTTGTTGTTGTTGTTGTAGGGCTGGCCTCAACCCTCCATCCTCCTATCTCTGCCTCCCAAGTGGTCAGGATGACAGGCACCACTAAGCCTAGTCTCTCTCTCTCTCTTTTTTTTTTTTTTTGG